GAAAAACAGGAGAAAAAGGAAAGAAAAAGATGGGGAGCGGCGCGCTGGTGCGCGCGGACGTTAAACTTCGTATTACGGGAGAATCGGGGCGCCAGGAGTAAATTCCAAGTTTCAGGGGGCCCCACGAGATTGTGGGATAGTTAACTGTCATCCGCTTAAGCGCGTAGGTGTATACTTTTTGTCGCGCTGAGACATTTAGGTGTCGATCGACGCATACTTCGAGAGCTTCCGATAAGTTTCCGCAAAACTGAGAGATACCAGACACTTTTTCAAACGGTCTAGAAACTTGAGGAACGACAACGATAAGCCATCGCGGAAGAATAAAGGTTAGATTTTTTTTTTACTGGGAACGTCTCTATGTGTCTAATTGGTCCATCGTTAACGTCTTTACAAAGAAACTTTTTCCCCTGTTTCTCTCTTTAAATAATATTTCTTTATTAAACTCTAAGTTTGTGTATACAAAATTGAAGCTTGTCTTTTAAAAACTTACAAAAAAGACGAGATAATAAATTGAATATTATCAATATTATTATTCAGGGTATATGAAAGTAATAAGAATGGTCACGTTACGTAATTTACCCTATTGTGTTTTGATAGAAACTAACCTTAATAATAGTATCTAAATGAGAATGAAATAATGTCAGTAAAAATGTTCTACTGTTTTTTATCTCTTTAAGGGAGCTTCGAATATCCTTTGAAATTGCAAACGTTGTGTAAATAAAAGGCCGTGTGACGCCGTGGTCGAAAATATCACGCAACTGCATTAACACCGCGACCAAACGACGCGACGGGCGTGGTATGTGCGCATGCACGATATCATGAGAACTTTTTCACGAGGCACGAAGATTGAGCCGGACAGATCGTCTCGATTAAAAAGCATCCCGCTATTCACGAACCGTGGCTGGCGTGATTCATCCACCCACGATTTTCTCTGACCGTGGTAGCCATTCATTATTTTGACACTATTGTAGAAATAATGATAGAACCGAGACGGAACGTTCCCGCCCGATCAAACCGGAAGTCTGATGTCGATTTGCGCGTGGGGTCTCTCTCGTGTGGGCCGCCTTTCAATCATTTCCACTTGAGAAAAGGAAACTTTTCATCCGTGCCGCCTCGTGAGAAGATTAACCAACATTTTTGAACCTCTTTATGCTTCATTATATCAATTTCTATGAAAAATTTGAAATGCTTAACAACCCTAGAATACTAACATGAGAGATACAGTGCCCTGGGGAATTTTTTAAATATATTTTTAATATTTTCACTTTGAAAATATTAGATTTAATAAATGTATGTGTATCAATTTGTTTTTCTGGGGAATCATGAAAACTCACCGTGTGTCAATCCAGGATTAATATTAATTCTGATGTACATTTTTAATTAATTAAATCGAACAAAACAAACCTGGAACAACCACACAAAGCACATAACCGTTGGTGAAAAGTAAAACGTATAACGGTAGAGACCAGTTCGGTATGAGTTTAGGTAAAGAAACGACGTCTCGTGTGATTCACGCGACGTGTCTGCCCGGCTGCCTCACAACGAAGCCCGCGACCTATCAATAGCTCCTCATATACACTGAAGAGAGACTGTCATTCCAACGAAGACTAAAAATAGAGTTCGCGCGTCCGTCCATAAGGCTGGTCCGAGAGCAGTCCTGTATACCAGTGCGTTCTCTCTCTCTCTCTCACCCTCTCTCACTCTACGTGTTCTCCCTCCTTCTCACTCTAACCTTTCGTCACTGCCCGATCTTCTTTCCCTTTTTTTCCTACGTCAGTATTTATAGTTCCTCGTGAAATTCTTTCCCACTTCTGCTGACGTCGATACTTCGATCAGTGGACGTTGACAACCGTGCATAACCTTTTCGAATTTTCCTTGTGAAATTACTTTTATTAAAACCGACAGAGCGTTGATTTTTCTCTACGAGAATTATAACGTAATATTTTCGAGTTGCTTATTTTCTGTATAACAGGAAGATATGAGATAATTAAATTTTTTTTTTAATTAGAAGTGTTTTGAGGTGAATTATCGAAGGAATCGAGAAAGAAAACGCCAGACGCAATACTATAAGCAAACACGTAAGAACGGTAGCCAGTCAAGGACGGAGTTTATGAAGATTGGCTAAATTAAACTCCATTAGGACAGTCGCGACCGTTCTGTCCGGACTATAAATGCATGCGCGACAGAACCTGTTACTATGACAAAGAGTATTAATTGAACCGCACAGACCGAGGGCTTCGAATCGCTTTATGATTGACCCCAAATTTATTTCCACATTCTTAACCCACAATCAACCGTGCGCAGGTCACATGATTAACCCAATGTTATTAACCCCTCTGTGACTCAGCTGGACTAACTTTCGGATCTCATGAAACGTTCTTACCGTCCTCTATCGTGTCAATACTCCCACTATCGACGAACGATATAATCTATCATGAAGAACGGTACGATTATATAATTGTAAATTTGTACCTACGGAATAATCGATTGCTAGATTTATGATCATTCATGAAATGCAGATGAAATTAACGTGTTAAGCGCTCTGTCAGGTAATTTAATTACCATATAATGCATGCGAACACACGCCGTCTTTTTACTTCCGTTAATTGACCACGCGTTTCGACAGATGTCGCGTCACTTGTCGTAACTTAAACGCTTCGATCGAAGCACACAGTAATGGCGATTTTAAGGAAGATATACATTGATACATTGACATCAAAAAACATATAACACTTCTTTAAGACAGTTGCTACAGAATCTACCAAAAAAAGAAAAAACGCTATCCTACAGTCACAATGTGACCCATAACGTTTGCACACAAACAGACTCATGTAAACCGACCGTGTAAACACCGGGTGCTAACCTCCAGCCTGAATCCGTGCAGTGTAAACAGTTCTAAATAGCAACCGCTCAGGAAAAGATCAAATTTCTCATTCCACGATGAAGATTTGCTGATATTGTTTACAGTGCAAACAGGATTGAAAGTGAACACGATGGATGTGCATAAGAAGACACAACAAAAGGCGCACAGTGATGCCTAGCATTTCTCGAAAAGCTAGCTAAAATTCATAATTTCATACGATTTTCATAAAAATTGCTACTCATGTTTTTGATTGTAACTAATCAATGTATTTAAAAAATTCCAATTTATCAACGGAAATTGCTAATAAGTAGCACTTCAAGGTTCATTTTCAACAAAAACACACGCTAGTGTTCATAACTGTTTAACAAGTCGAATTTTTTCCGCTTTATTCAAAGATGTGACAAATTTTTCGAAATGAATTGAAATATAAAATGAGGAAGGCGAAGGGAACGTGAATGGCGGTGAGAAGAATGAACGAGGATATCGCGTAGGAGGTGTCGGTGGGTCTTGTATAATGAGATGAGTATCTTTAATAGTTCGACGATACAAGGCGGTCGACAAGTCGTGGGTATCAAAGCCCCTCGTGTATCCACCTTACATCGTCGTCGTCTCTTTCCTACTTCAGTGGATCGAGTGGGTGTAAACGAAATCACGACTGGATCTTCGTTTAAGGGCCCTTTTGTTCTCGCGCCGGATAAAAGGTGTTTCACCCGATAAAAATCAGTTTTTATCGTCCCATAATTGAACATTACACTACTAAACGTTTTTTTCGACAGTTAACCGTTTACTTAGAGCTTTTTTGCTACGAGAAAAATAATAGGTTAGGTTAGGTCTTTATAGATGGTAACGATGTCAGATTAAAAATTTGAGTTTCTTGTTCTTGTTGAGTAATGAAATATATTTTTACCGTGGATCATTTATGTTTATTTTTAAACAGAAAGAGAAAAAAAAACAAAAATTAGTTTTACGACGAAGAAAAATTACAATTCACAAATTAGCACCAATTGGAAAGAATACAATTGTACGTTGCACCGGTTAAACGAAGCAGAAAACACTCGTTGCTCAGACTTTCATCGAGAAAGTCCGGAAGAGAAATACTAAACGGAGCTAATCGGCCGGAGCCAGCACTTTTATCTGCTTAAAATCACGCTCATTAGTAGCGGGGAGCTTATTATTACAAGTCTGCAAGGAATGTCGATAAGAAAAACGCCTGATTTAGCAACCGGGCGTCGTCGTATATCGAAACACGGTTAGGTTCGTTCAATCGTAACGACCAACGATGCACACAGGGTGTCCGATAAATACACCGCTGCAAACTGCTCGTAAAAATGTACAACTAGCAATGAAGGTGAACATTGTTTTACGATTATTATCTAATTAAGACGTAAAAAAAGGCACGTTATTATCATAAGCTGTCGCGTCGGAAAAAATATAGACATCATTTCCATTGAACGTAAGAAAAGAAAAAAAGAAACACGCAAAAAAGACGGAATCAAGGTTAAAAAATTACGTAGATTTTTATGTAAATGTGACTGAACGAATGAAGTTCGGTTATCCGATCGGATCGTGAAAAAATGTCGGTACCCATGAGACGAATGGCGCGAAAGGGCAAGAATATCGATGATGCGTGCGCAAGGGACGCGTCGCGTCGGTGCAATGGTGACGTTATCGTTCCCGCCGCATATGGGACGCAAAACAAAGCGGTGTTTCCCTCGTGCACGTATGCGCGGAATGCAAATGACGATTATTGCGCGATCACCCAAGAATTCGAGCGATTCCGGCCCCGTAAGAACGCAAAACAAACTGGAATCGATTCTTTCTCTCGATATATCGCTTACACGATTTCAAATTTGCATATGAACTTTTTTTCTCTCACTTCTTTACGACTGCATTCGTCGACTGTTCCCTATTGCTCTAAATGAACATAACTTAATAATATTTTGTATAACAAAAACACTTTTTTTTTTGTTGGATGATAGAGATAGAAGCTAAATATGACAGACGTGCAGCGGTTGGTCAGAGTAAGAATTCTTTTTTTTTGTTTGTTTCTTTTTATTGTTTCAACCGAAAACAATTTAATTCGGCATATCCTTCCCGTCATACGAACGCGGCTTCATTAAACATGGAGGGCACGTACGCATGACAAAATGTATAACCGAACGTAGGTGCGGCTCGTCAACGTTTGCGTCGGAAATATAAGACTGCCAACCCATCATTCGTCGCGTTTGCATTGAGACAAAAAGAAACGCGACAATGCCGATTGGTATGACACTTCGAACGCGAATGTTTAATCGTGACTGAAGCAACGGTCTCCGTCGTATATGTATTCCAACATAAATATAAGATGTCTCGAAGGAAATTCCTCGATTTATTTAGTCATAATAAAAATGGAAACTTTACCCCCTTTTATAATTTAAAAGATATTCATCGAAATTACACCATAATTTTCAAATTAACATACTAAATAATTGGTAAATAAGACACAAGAGTGTAAGATGTAAGGAATTCTTGGATAGAGCAGTTTAAAGGACGCGGTATGACGTGTCACAATATACCCGTAAAACGATACGTGCACGATATACGCGCTCGCTCACGTACAGTAGTGGTAGACGAGCCGAGAAACGGACGCCAGTCTGTCTCGGATCAGGAATGGGATTAGAAAGCACGTCAAGTCTCCGTGGGTCACGTCACCTAGATCGAGATTTAGTCCGTGCTTCGCGTATTACGTCCAATCTACAGCACTCTCCAAAGGGCAATGCCATTTTTCTATGACCTTCTCGGCAAAACAGATCCAAGAAAGTGTTGACGATATCTATCAGGTTGTACTGTGCGCTTATTAGGAACTTGTTCGTTCTACTGATTGGTACGATCTCTCCAGGTAAATCTTCTATACTTAACGTTTCTTAAATTTCACAAAATTACAGAATATTTATTTTATAAATGTTTTCACACAAACTTCTAGAACTGATAAAATAAATACGACAATAAGATTCGTCTCAGTCAAAATTGAGGTTATGCACCCTCAATTTACTCTGTCGATAATATGCGTAATTACGTACTTCTTTTACCGATACAATACAAAATTGCAAAATTGAAAAAAAAAATTAAATAACATTCTCAAGAAGTGTAAAATATTTTAGAATATGTATAAATAAAAATTGGAATCACTTAAAAAAGTATACACTAGTCATTTCAACGTAACCTAGAATGATGAAGCGTTTATGGAAATGTACCAGCGGAACTTTGAAACGAGCTATAGTAGCGGACAACGGGGTGTTCCGGCGCTCGTGTACCTACATGAACAGTCGGCGTGAATTCCGTAAAAGTCGCGTCAGGTCGGTCGGTTACATAGAAACGTAATGTTGTACGTGCGGCTCGAGGCTCGAGCCTCGCCGCAAGGGGGTTAAAGGTCGGACAGAAACGAACACACACAGGGGGGGAGGCTTCGATACGTTGCACACACACACACGCACGAATGCGTGAGGGCACACCCACTTTTATACGTACCGGAATGCATTCGCATTTGATGCAGTACATGACTCCGAAGGGCGGGCCCAAATCCGCGAACCAGGTGGAGCCCAGTTCCCGTATCTGCTTGCCGAACGTGCATTCTGCAACAAAGAGGCATTTGAATTGGCTTGGTGAATTTGTGGTTCTCTACATGCATATACTTTTTTTTTCTGCTTCGACTGTAATAGCGACTGGTATGTATGTACGGACTTTGAGGTTTGAAAAACGGCAAGGTAGAAATATTTGAAAGCGGACAGAAAGTATGATGCAGGGAAGGGGGAGGGGGGAGAGAGGCGCTGCTACGGAGAAAGGTTTTAAGTAGAAATATTGCTACGCTGTTCACAGTAATTAGGGGAAATAATTATTTTATTATATCGTATAATTTAAACAGAGGATAATATCGTAAAAATAAATTTAACGTGATTTGTATAACTGTCAATTTTATATAAATGATTAGAGACAAAGAAAAGAATGCATATCTTTTTTGGTTGGTCACACTGAAAGTATATAAGGGTGACATATAGCCAATAGGGTTGCACTTAATTTGTCGAATATAGAGGACAAGTACATTCAACTTGAACACCTGACAGATTTATGTACCACACCAATCCCCTTTAACTTATGTTTCTAAATGAAGTAATAAAAATTCCTTCTTCCTTCAAATTGTTTCCCATTACACTAGGCACTTGGCCGACTACACCTATACATGCACATATCCCTTCACATTCCAGAATGGGATAGAAGTGAAATGGCGGAATGAATGGAGGACTCTTCCCGGGTGGAGCGCGCGCGCGCGCTAATCGCCAGCCTGTGAATCATCATCGAAGGAGCAAACGTTTTTCTCCGGTCGCCGCTTAAAAATCGCCGAGACGACGTTGAGACGGTGCGGTGTGTAAAAGACGAAAGCCACACACGAACAGTGCGAGTGAGATAGAAGAGACACGA